AAAAGTGCAGGTCAGTCCCACCTCCAAAATAAAAATTGGAGTCCCAACCAAATGACATTCGTCTTTTCTCTCAAAAATCCCCAGCCCCTGTTCCTCGCTCCTCCAATTCCTTCAATTTTTCACTCAAAAATCCAGCCACTGCTGCCACCCCCCTCTACAATCATCTCCATCTCCTTCTTCACCCCTTTTGCAATCGTCTCATGCCGCCGACCCAACTCTGCTGCTGCAATTCATCATCTCCGGTAAGTGCTTTGTTGGATCTCTTTTTTTTTTTAGTTTTCAATGTAAATTTCTCAAGATGAAATTGATGGGAACAACTGCGATTCCTTCAATTTTTCACTCAAAAACCCAGTCCCTGTTGTCAGCCCCTCTGCAATCATCTCCATCTCCTTTTTATAAACCAAAAACGAAATTCATTGAAGAGAAAATATTTACTTTTTTTATTCTTGTTTCTATTTTATTGCTTCTCTATTTTGTTGCATAAAGCGAAGCAGTTGCTGGATTTCCTTTGCATAAATTTAGGGAAATGCTATTTTTAGAATAAACTTTGGATGGTACTTATTCCTATCATTTCCGGAATTGTGGTCCCTTTGCTTTCTTCCTTACAATCCTCATAATTTGTTTGGCACTTTGTTCATATCGGAGATGATGAAGATGATTGCAAAAGCGGCTTAAAGGAGATTGAGATGATTGCAGAAGGGGCCAAGAACTGGGGCTGGGATCAAGAAACGACGTCGTTTTTGGTTGGGACTCCAAATTTTTTTTGGGAGGTAGGATTGATCCGTACTTTCCCGATTACCCCACCCATCACTCTCATATCCAGATACATTTTGAACGGTCACGATCAAAGGAGATAGTGACGTGTCTCACAAAAAAGGGAGTAGTGACATGGAAATTTTAATCAACAGTTTTCTTCTGTACTCCAACAGATTCGTGACACGTGTCTCATTGCTTGACCCAATGCTTTGACTGCTTCGGTCAAAGTATGAAATATTGAAATTTGAAATGATTATAACCGTCTAGTTGGAATTATTTTTAATTATGCACGTGGACTGCGCAATTGGAGGAGCGGCGCCAAGGAGGATAATGTCGAAGCTTTTGCATTGTAAATGTTTCCCCAACAGCTTTAATAAAAAATCAAGACCCTAATCAACCTTGTTTAATCTTGAAAAAGGAAAATCCCACCTGTCTTAATGTGGAAGATTAATGTTTTGGTCTAAAGATGAGATTAAAGAACTTTATGACAAGCACAAAGTGATAAGTTAATACTTTTTCTA